TTAAACCGCATAAACACATTTCATTACACCAAATACACAAAATAATGTTCTATTTAGCAGCATCATATGACCCCTTTAATTAGTTTAGCCCTAGCTTGTCTAAAGTGGCTCTGAGATGGTGGCGAGGGAAAACAGTTGCTGACGAGGGAGATTGCGCCATCCTAGCGATGGGCGTCTCGAGTGACTGTGGCACACAGACGTGTTTAACGCCTTGCGTCTGGGGTGCCTGAATTGTTGTTATGGTGAGTTAATTGGTAAGAAAAGGAGAATGACAACAAGATCATGAAGATCCCGTAATCATGAATGTCCAAAATCGATCTGAAATGTTATGTCTTCAACTACAGCTTTACATTTTCAGAAGAAAATGAAGAGTGGTGTCAACACAATGCTAAAGTGTTGTTCCAGGGCATGGCTAGGGTGTTTTTAGATGGTTGTTTATTGGTTTTCACACATTTGGTCTCTAAAGAAAAGCACCCAACAATGATATTCACAAGTAAAGTAACTTATATAATATTTTCTTTGTATAATTAAAGATTTTTTTTAAATAACAGTCTTTCATTCTCAAGTAAAAATGTGAAGCTTAACAATTGGACAGCCCCAAACAAAAAGTTATATAAATCTGTAACTATTATACAGCAACTTTGCATAAATATAATGGAATAATAATAATGATGATGATGATGATGACAGTGATGAGGATTATCATCATCATAATCATTATTACTATTAATACATTATATTTTAACTAAGTTGTTTTGCAGTCTAACAATAATAATCAAAAAATATTATTAGTAGTAGTATTTTTTAAGCAAATTTGTATAAATATACCAAATATTTACATAAATATATAAGTAGTATTTTTATCATTATAATTATACAAAGTTGTTTTGCAGTCTAATAATAATGTTATTATTATTATTAATAAAATATTCATAATTTATATAATTTTATTACTGTGCTAATCAAACCATCATTATCATCATCACTGTTTTTTTAAACAATTTTGCATAAATATAATGGTATGAATATATTATTGTTATTTATACAATTATTATATTTATTCTAAGTCTCATAATAATAATAATAATAATTATTATTATTATTATGCAATATGCATATTGTTTTATTACTGATCATTTAGTCAAAAAGCATCTGTTCTGGGACCATTAAGATCATAAAACAACTTTGCATAAATATAATGGCTTAAATAACAATAATATGGTTGACTGTTTTCTTTTTTTTTTCTTTTTTTTCTTTGTCCAGGTCTTAGATTTTGTTCCTGGGATGTTATACAGTATAGCTGCATAATTCATCATTTCTTAGAGCATCAAGTCGATGTTAACAGTGAATGGTGTAATTTCATTTAATAATTTATTTATACAATTAATTAATTTATTTATTTTTACACAAATCAGTTACGTGAAAACTGGCCTGGTCAGATCCGTTCATGATTTTACTGAACTGAATCCATAAAATCTGAACTTTTCTTCACTGCATGATTGAGATGACCAATGACATTTTTGCTTAACTGGTTTGGGGGAAAGAATCTCGCCAGTAAATACGATTATGGTCTCAGGGCACTGGGTGAGCTTGTGGTGTCTGTGTGTGTTGTGCACACAAAGACTGTTTGTTTCTGTTGAGCCGAGGCCTTTGACACTCTTCTTGTTGGAGATACGTGAGGAGACGCATTTCACACTGTCTCAGACTTTCCTGCATAGAAGATGCAAAACACAAGAATTGCAGTGAGCTTTTGTGCCTTGTGTTTTTGTGTGAGACTGTAGTTTGCATCGTGTGGGAAAGTACTGTAACACGTAAGGGTGATTTTAATTTTTGACCATCTGTCAGGAAATGCCCACAGAAACTTTATAAAATTAGAATCAGCTGCTTTCATTCTCAATCATCTAAAAGTACACCTGGGTTCACATTCGTAAACCACCATGAAGTGAGAATGCTGAGATAGACTGGTTTTACATCAGTGATCCTAGAACACTATAGTAACTGAGAGAGCTAGATTACACGTTGAAGTTTAATAGTAAAGGTTTGTTCATGTTTCTTTTACCTAATAGTTCTCTATATCAACTGTTTTTATCCTTTAAGGTAATGAGAAAGCTGCTTAATTTCATTTTTTATTCACAGAAACTAGAAATGTCAATATATTAAAATCATTAGATACCATAATTATTTAAAATTAAAATAATTGCATAAAGTACTCTTTATGACCAATGAATGTAGGATTGTTATCATTAAAATATTGTAAAAACATTTTTGTTAATTGAAATAAGTCTGAAATAAAATAAATATCAATTTTGGGTGAAAAACAAAAAAAGTAGCCTTGGTGTTGAAGTGTAATGATGGTGTTGAACTGCAAATAAATAAAATGTAAAACTGGTCTAAAAATAAAACTGAAATAAAAATACATTAAACCTAAATAGTAATATTTAAAAACCCAGAAAAAAATGACAAAAGTGCATAACAAAAACTTACTAAAAATTAAATCAAATTGAAATCTGAAAATAAATGTAAATTCAAAATAGAATAATAGAATTAATAGAAAACTATTATAGTATATAAATAATACTATATATATATATATATATATATATATATATTAAATAACAGTTTATAATTATTTATTGTAATTATTTTTCTACTCACAAATAGAATTTTCCCAGCAGTTTTTATTTATTTATTTATTCATTTAAATAGGGACATTATAAAGAACACGAATCCAGCCGAAAAGCTGAAAAATATGCGAATAATAGCAAATGCCAATCTGCATCTCAGAGCTTAACATAACTAGAAAATATTATTTTCCATATCCATATGAGTACTTTTACAGTTAAAAATGAACAGATGATTTCATTACACAGATCTATTCATGTTCTGCCATCATCTGGTCATGCAGTGAACTGCATGCTGGGGTGTTTGTGGATTGAAGTTTAACATGAAATGGCCTAACTCTAAACATTACACTGTACTCTTGGCTTCCCCTCAGCGGTGTACATCCTGATCGGAGCAGGAGGTGTCATGATGCTGGTGGGGTTCTTCGGCTGCTTTGGGGCCGTGAGGGAGTCACAGTGTCTTCTGGGATCGGTGGGTAAGAACTACGCAACAGTAAATGAACAATCCACCATCCCCATCTACTGCCCATATGGACACTAAATGTTGCGATCGCTTTAAAGCACCACATTTGCGATTTTCAAACTGAAGAATAAAACTGACCTAAGCTCTTTTTTGTCCACACTGAAGCATTTAAAATAAACATGAAATCAAAATGGACTAGGGATGTTTCAGCCGAGGTGGCTGAAGATAAATATTAAATAAAAATATGTGACTATTCAAGTCGGTTGAGGTGTTAAATGAATCGTGATACATTTGGGGGTGGGGGTTTATATGAATGTATCTCTCAGGAGAACTGACTGTCTTCAGAAAAGATGTTTAGATGGTGTTTTCATTTCATCTCTTCTCTGTGAATACCCAAGACGTGTCACTCATATAGTTTTGAATGGGGAAAAATGCAACGCTTAATATGGCCGCTCAATCGCAGGAAGCCCCGCCTTCTGAGCAAAAGAGCCAATCGCTAATCGGTAAAGTCAGCGCGTCACTGCAGCTGCCGTTAGAAGTCCCGGTTGCTATAGAAACAGTCAGCGCTCTGAGATGTGCGCTCAGGACTGAGCATGCGCACTGGCTGATCTAGCCTGAAAAATAAGTTTTTTAATAACGCTATTTGAGCAAAAGAAACAACATTTATGACACAATTGTTATCAGATTTCATTGGTGATTTCAAATTTGAAATTTAATCATAAGCTTAGTGTGAACAGTTTGGGAGAATTTGATGATTCCCCATACAAAGTGATAGGAGCTGCACTTGCATGCCCGAGAGGCGTTTCGAAGATGGCCGCCAAGTGACATGACTTGCCTTAAAGGGACTTTGGTATAATGCATATTAAAGTAGTGTTCCTTATCACAGCACTGCTTTGTTTACAGTGGTAACCAAGGAAACGCTGGGTCACTGCTGTTCCATAAGCGTCACCTGCTGTCAGAGAGTGATTTTTCATATCAACCAGCATTCAGTAATGCTGTTTTTGTTTCGTTCAGATTTTATTATGTAGTATAGTTTCACAAAACTAAAGTCAGACCATTCTGTTTTTGCTTTAAATTTTGAAATTATTCAATCTAATGTAAATCAAAAACTGCTCATGCTGCATGTATGCAGCATCTTTGTTTGGATCGTGATTAAAATGCAGTGGATGCTTCTAGTTTTTAATGGAAAGAGCATAGACAAAGCCTTAGTTTGTTTGTATGAAGAGATTTATTTTATTTGTATTTATTTATTTGATATACAGTGGGTACGAAAAGTATTCAGACCCCCTTCAATTTTTCACTCTTTGTTATATTGCAGCCATTTGCTAAAATCATTTAAGTTAATTTTTTTTCCTCATTAATGTACACACAGCACCCCGTATTGACAGAAAAACACAGAATCGTTGACATTTTTGCAATGGCTGCAATATAACAAAGAGTGAAAAATTGAAGGGGGTCTGAATACTTTCCGTACCCACTGTATATATTATGAGTACCGTTTCATGTTGACTTTACATTTTATATAGTGACTTCAAATTCTACAGTGATGTAATTTGGACGTGATATATCCTCTTGATATCCTGTGATATGATTCTGTTGAATTTCAATGAGTACTGACAAACTAAAGTGAAGTCTCTTTTGTACTGTCTAGTTCTTCGCTTGCCTTCTTGTAATTTTTGGCGCAGAGGTCGCTGCTGGAGTCTTTGGCTTTCTGAATAAGGATAAGGTATGTCACGCACCGTATCAGTTTGAGCGTAAATATGAAAGTAACTGTCATCTAATGATGTGATATGATCAGATACTCTCACATGTGTTTCTAGATCATTCAGGATGTCCAAAAGTATTACCAGTCTGCTATGGAAAATGGCAACGTGACCGCTATTACTTCCATGTATCACGAAATGGTAAGTAGAGCTTTTGTTTTACAGACACACTGTTAGTAAATGATCTGTGGCTATAGTGGCAGTATCACCATCATCTTCTGACATTTCTATTCTTCTTTCACAGTTTGAATGTTGCGGCACTGAGTCCTCTCACCCTCCTGATCTGTGCACTGATGACAGTCCTGACACGGTATGTTCAAATATGTTGCATGACTTCAACATCACCATTCAGTTTGCACGAATGTGTTTCTAAACACAATGAGGCTGTGAAAGCGGCTAGTGAATAGATGTGTTTACATGTTCGACATGATGACGATTAATATCCTGACAACCTCTGTAGTCCCATTTAGCCACTTGTTAGGAACCGTCGTTTTCAAGAAAAGTAAAAAGCTTTTAAGTAATCACAAGGGTTTATAAAAAAAAAAAAAAACTTGAGCAGATGACCTCATTTTAGGCATTTTACCCCAAAAACTCAGGACAAAGAACCGGAAGTGATGAAGTGCAAACTTGTTTCTGGGGTTTGGCCTACAAATATGTCATTCCTGCAGCACTTTATTCAGCTAAGAAGCCTCGCCCACAGATAAATCTTATTGGTCCAAAATTCCACCTATATGTTTTATGAAACATCAGTCGTGTTCTGATTGGCCGAGATTGTCACTCTGCATTTTTGCATTTAATGTAGACAGACAAACTGTCGCACCTGGTAAGGTTGGTCAGTAATTCACATTGCATTTTATTTACTTAGCACAGCCAATTCTTACTCACATATGTGACCCTGGACCACAAAACCGGTCATAAGGGTCAATTTCTCGAAATTGGGATTTATTTATCATCTGAAAGCTGAATAAATAATCTTTCTATTGATGTATGGTTTGTTAGGATAGGACAATATTTGGCCGAGATACAACTATTTGAAAATCTGGAATCTGAGGGTGCAAAAAAATCTAAATATTGAGAAAATCGCCTTTAAAGTGGTCCAAATGAAGTTCTTAGCAATGCATATTACTAATCAAAAATTAAGTTTTGCTATATTTACAGTAGGAAATTTACAAAATATCTTCATGGAACATGATCTTTACTTAATATCCTAATGATAATATCCTAATTTGGCATAAAATAAAAATCAATAATTTTTACCCATACAATGTTTTTTTGGATATTGCTACAAATATACCCCAGCGACTTGTGCTCAGTCCAGGGTCACATATGATACCCTGTAGCTTTTCATTTTTTTTTTTTTGTGACCTATTATTTTACTTTATTATGCGTCACTTAAACTTCAGAGCTTGTTGGCATAGTGCTCTTAGACTCAAAAGAAGGACACGTTTCATACTCAAATGATGAGCAATTTTGACACAGACCCTTAGATGGCAGCCATGCTGTTCTGTACGGTGTATGAGGGAGGGAGGGACACAGACCAGTGGAGTGAGGAGGTAAGAGGGACTAAAAAAGAGAAATGAAGCAGACAGTGACAAGATGTCCCATGAGCCACTTGATCCGATAAGCCTACAGGGGCACAAAGGCAGACGTTTTTTTTATTTATAGCAGGCGGGAAGGCACATTGATCGGCTGAGAAACATCATGTCACATTGTGCTTCAGTTGTCAATTCATACTGTCAGTTGATCCCAATCAGTAAAGCACATTAGAGAAAAAGAGACCGCAAAAGCATGTTAACATAGTGTTTACAGTGGCTAAAGTCCATAGAAATGAACTATTAAAACATGTTTTGTGCACCACAACTATTCAGCTGCAGCCCCATATGTGTGTATATATAATATAAAATAGAGTAATATTGTGAAATATTTTTACTATTTAAAATTCGTGCTTTCTATTTTCTTATGATGGCAAAGCTGAATTTTCAGCATCATTACTCCAGTCTTCAGTGTCATATGATCCTTCAGAAATCATTCTAATATGCTGATTTGCTGCTTAAGAAATGTTGAAAACGGTTGTGCTGCTTAATATTTTTATGTGAACCGTAAAAAAATTTTTTTCAGGATTATATGAGTGGAAAGTTTAAAAGAAGAGCATTTATTTGAAACAAATCTTTTGTAACAATGTAAAAGTCTCACTGACTGCTTGCAAAAAAGAACTTAAAAACAATGTTAGTTTGTAATCAAATAGCTCATTATGTTCTTTTTTTATTTTAGCATTCATAAAATACAGTAAATATTCAGTGCCCGTATCTGCATAATTTGGTAGTGCATTATAATGATTTGTACATAGTTCAATTAATTTATAACCAATTCATTAAGTAATAACAATTGTTGGTTATACAATGTGCATATCTCTGCTATTTTATCATTCTGATAGTGGCTCATCCAATCATATTTCAGAGCTAGAGCTATTCATTTTATAACAGTTAATCAGTAGAAGTGAACAGATGGGGTTGTTTTAACATTAACACTAACACACTACATCAGTTTGCCTCACTCAGCTAATGTTCTTTTGAAATATTTTCAAGTATTGTGACAAAGCAATAGAAGACTTCTATAAAGAAACACTCTTCATAATCGGATACGTTGGCATCGGCATTGCTGGAATTATGGTAACAAAATTCTAACAAACTTCTTTTTGTGAAATGTGCTTAAAGTCTAGTCAAATTTATTTGTATAGTAATTTTCACAGTACATTGTTTCAGAGCAGCTTTAGACAATTATGATGTTAAAGGTTATAATATCTTTGTGTGTGTGTGTGTGTGTGTAATAGTAATTTTTATTAGAGCTGGGTGGTAATATAGTTACATTTTGCAATGAATTAAAAAAATCAGGCAGTTAAGTAGGGGTGCTCCGATCAGGATTTTTGAGGCCGATCGCCGATCACAGAAAGCAGTATCTGCCAATACCGATACCGATCTTTTTAAAGCCTTCTTTTTATAATTTATAACTATTTATAGTGATACTCCAATCAGGATTTTTAGATATTTATTCAGGGCCTGAATTTCATTTTTGAAAATGGGGGGAATTCCCCTCTTAGGTGTCTCTTGTGAGAGGAGAAGCAGCTTTCACACAGGAGTCCGCTACTGATCTACAGCTGTTTACCACAAACACAACATTTATCCATTATTTTGATTTCAAATCCAAACATTGTCACTGAAAATGTTTTTTCAGAATTGCAATTCTTTTTTTTTTTTACAGTACAGTAATACAGTCTTTCACAGACATGTTTAAACCCAATAAATATAAGCAACGCATTATTAAATGCTTTTTACTTTTGCATTTACTTGTAGATTTTTATATTAAGTTGCTCAAGCAAGTGGCAAAACATTTAAACTACTTTTCTTACGTTATCACAAACTTACCATTGACAGAAATAGTCAGCTCTACTGCCTTTCCTTAAGAACTTTGTTTCCCCACCTCCACGAGTGCCGTCTATTATTGCCTTGTTTATCTAAAAGTGCTCTTTC